TTCTACCCATCATACACGTCCTGATACCTAAACCTATACCCGAGGAGAAAATCTTCACTTGTACAAAAACTAATTCTACAATGAAAAGCAGAAGGAAAACGTGGACCAGGAAGGCAAAGGATTTCTCTGCTAAAAAATCTACGTACGTGGTTCAACACAACAACTACAAATCTTTTAAGAGCAGCAGTTTGCAAGCTACAGATTGCCATGATGGTCACCAACATTCGAAATGGATAGGCACTTCAAGAAGAAGATACAAAACCAGTGGAAAAAACCACTAAGAACATATGCATAGAGCAGGCGGCTGTGCATCATTCTAATATACCGCCACCCCAACCTGAAGGTGTAACACCATCGTGTTGAAGGGGTGCATAGCGCAAGGGAAAAAATAATCACACGCGATGCCCAAAGAATCGACCCAACTCGTGGAAAGAAAAATGGAAAAATATTTAATACAAAAGAAGGTAAGTATAGTGGTAGAAGAGTCTATAAAGGATACAGGCGAAGGGAGGCTATCGGCAATATCGAAAGAGGAAGAAAAGAACAGTCGGGAGGAGAAAAATGACAAGCCAAAGGAGAAGAACGAAGAGGAAAACGAGGACATGAGTAAAACAGTAAAGGATGATAGCAATGGAAAAGAAACAGAATATATTAATGACAAGAGTGAATAGACGAGAATAAATGAACGAATGGAAAGAAAAGTATCGACCTGTTTGCCTTCTGCCGTACATAAGTAAATTATACAAGAGGCGTATAAGAGGACAAATAGACACAGTCATTGAAGAGTCAGTCACCGAAACAGTACGGTTTGAGAAAAAACAGCAGCACGGTGGATGCGGCGATAGAAACATTTCGCGAATTGCGCAGGGTAGGGGTTAACCAGAGCTGGGATCCTACTGTTGTTTAACGTCCGGAATCATTTTAACACAATAAAATGGAAATAGTATTGAAGGCTTTACAAGAGAAGGTGTCCGAAGTACTTAATGAATTTAGTCTCCGACTATCTGTCAGACTGGAAAATTGAAGTAGAAAGAGGAGTGGAAGTTGACGTGATGGCTGAATTGCCGCAGTGGTTGGTCTTATGACCCATACTGTGAAACTTAGCATATGAGCGGGATTGTGAGCCGACAATACAGAGCAATCTAACCCCTTTCGCGTGGACGACGTCGCTATGTTGGTAGTGGTTCAGGGCAGGGAGGACCTTATCTTTGGTGCACAGCGTGTATTAAGTAATAAAAATGCATGACCTAGAACTGGCTGCGGGTAAGATCGGGGCCATATGACTCTGAGTCAAAACGAAAGATAGGAGAAGCACTTAAAGCGGTGACTCAAAGAACTACGGTAAGATCCGCCGCGTTGGAAGGGGAGTTATGCTCAACTTTTGCGGGCCAAAACTGAGTACAGGAGGGTCCTTCATTATGTTATGCAATCAATCGTCCTCTAAGCTGCGCCTGTCTGGCGTACTGCAGCTTTAATAAAGATGACAAAAAAACAGCTCACTCGAGCAGATAGGAAGACGCTATTGAGGGTGCCATGTACATACAGAACAGTCTCTACCAAGACACTGGGAGTTATCACCAGGTGTATTCCGATACACGTGCTAGTGAAAGAAATAAGAAGAATATACGAGAGAAATAATAAAGATATAGTAAGAATGTTTAAATAAAGAAAAAAAGGCAGAGGTCCATAACAGTGTGCCAAGAGGAATAAGACGAAAAAAGAAGGATGGCGCAGTGGACGAATTCGTTGATTCCTAATCTGAGAAGATGCGTGTATCGGTGTTTGGATTTACAGATTTGGAAAGGCAGAAAATAACAAGTGACTATATTGTAAAATATTGGACACGGTGTCATACACTCTATTGGTATGCGATAGATGGATTGACTAGAGTAGTCTGCTTGAGAGAAAGCTAGGGAGTAGGGCGCAATCAGTCACGGAACTGGTGGAGGAGATGCTTAGGTCAGTACATCGGTAGAGAGCAGTTTAGAGTTATGTAAAGCGAACATTGGAGAAAAAGGAAAAAGAAAAAGGGCGACCCGAATTGAGGCAAGGTGCCCAGGAGCAAGCAAGAAGGCAGGACGTTAGGTCCCAACAGGGATATCCGGCCGGTAATTCACCACTGAGGGTGTTTTTAGCAGGTAGGTCTCTGGTATTGACGGCGATGGTGTCCGAACAACTCCTGCGGTGTTCTGGGATATTAAAATTTTTAAAACCAAAATGATAATATCCCAGATATTATCCAGCCCTCGAGTTCCTATGAGGTACAAAAGCAAACGAGTAATAACATATGTAAGTGTTTGATATTGTCATTAAGTATCTAAAAATACTAAAGAAAACTGGAATTGTGCTTTTCATTCCGAAATAGTACACAAAAAAAGGTACTATAGTCCTTTTTTATTATATTGATAGCACATTATGTATGCAAATCCTCAACAGGTCAAAAAACCATAGGCGTCACCCTATACTTGTTTTGAAATAAATAAAAAAAAATAATATTTTAAGATGCCGTCAACAATTCATTATCTTTAAAAAAATCTTCTGTAAAATAAGTGTCCGCTAATCTTACTTTACCTTTTTTGTACGTAAAAAACGTCGGTATATATGCCACATGATTATTGTTAATTATACACGGGTGATCAAGGAGAGAATTCAATGTTTCACGAAATAAATTAATATAAATAGTAATTTAAAGGTGACTATGGTTTTCTATACAAGTTATCGCCTGACACAAAAAGAATACCTTCTTTGAACGATTACCTGAAATTACTGATAAGGCTTCACTAATGATAGTTTAAGTAGTTTTTATGCCACATTACAGCTTATGCCAAAAATATAAATTAGCAATTGTTTGCATCTTTCATTTAGTTTGTAGATGTACATTGTTCATGTCTTACCTACCTACGTTTTTGGTGTCGATATTTTATTATTTGCATTTTAAAATAACGTCGACAGCAGGTTTTATCCCGGTTAGGTGTAGTTTTAAAGGTGTCTTCAGTCTAAGAGAGACAAATATAATATTAAATGTACACGATGCACTGGTACATCAACGCCCTTTAAATAATGTTCGTGAAATCGTTAACATGTGTTCAAATATGACAGGGGTTGGAGAACCAACAATTTATAGATTCCTAAAAGAAAGAAAAGGAGGAACTGTTGCATCTCCCAAGAAGAGTGGAGGTAGTAAACCCTTGGAAATTGAAGAAATACATAAAAACATGATAAGACGCAGCGTCCACTCATTTTTTTTTAACAAAGAATTTCCAACATTGGACAAAATTCAAACATTAATTAAAAAAAAACGAAGAGTTACTAATCATAAGCAAGAAGAAATTATGGGGACTATTGAGAGAGATGGGATTTCGTTGGCAAAAGAATAGAAGAAAATCCGTTTTAATTGAAAAATATTACATTGTATGTTGGAGACAAGATTATCGAAGAACTATTAAAAAGTACCGAGAAGAAGGGAAAACAATTTTTTATTTGGACGAGACTGAGCTAAGTGAAGGTCATACTGTACCATATCTATGGGTTGATACAAATGTGAAAAGTTCCCGTCAGACATTCATCGAAGGTGTATCCACTGGAATAAACAACATTCCCGTTGGAAAAGAACGCAGACTCATAATAACCCATATTGGAAACGAATACGGTTTTGTCAATGGTGGATTATTAAGTTTTGCCTCAAAATCAACCAAAAATTACCACGAGGAAATGACTGCTGACGTTTTTGAAGAATATTTTGAGCAAATGTTGGATATAATTCCAAAAAATTCTGTCATAGTCATGGTTAATGGTAGTTGCCATTCAAGACTAGCAGAAAAATTGCCAACAACGGCATGGAAAAAAGGAGAGATAATCGAATGTTTGGATAAACAGGCAATTGAGTACAAGAATTCGACAAAAAAGGAATTATTACCTATTGTAAGGCAACATAAAGCAGCTTATAAAAAATATGTAATTGATGAAATGGCATTAAACCGTGATGTAATTATTTTACGTTTAACCCCATACCACTGTGATCTGAATCCGATAGAAAATATATGGTCTCAAGTAAAAGGTGAAGGCGTACGCAACAACAAAACTTTTAAATTAGAAGACTTACAACAATTATTAGAACATTCCTTATCAAAAGTAACTCCAGAAAATTGGAAAAATGCTGTTAGTCATGCTCACAAGGAAAAAAATAAAATGTTGAATTTGGATAATATGACTGATGCAATGCTGGAACCGGTAATAATTAACATTGGAGTTGAAGATTTCTCAGATTCTGAAGAAAGTAGTGAATCTGAAATGGAATTTGATTAAAATATCACTAATTTTTTTACAAATCGGCCCCTGTTATGGCCACAAATTATTTTATATATAATCAATAAAATAAACATCTTACATTTCTTGCAAATTCAGTAGTACCTGTTAATCTCCATCACTCCGACAATGGCAACTTTATTTAGGGATTAGTAATCCTCAAAACTATTGTATTCTATTCTGTTTTAACCTTTATACCTGGTGGCCATACTCAATTAAAAACTGTTTTCCTATATACTTCTGTAAACTTGTTGACAAATATCTATTTTTCATTGAGTCACCCGTATCAACAGTTTAGGGATTTGCATACATAATGTGCTATCAATATGGAAATGGACTATAGAGAGGTGGTATCTAAGGAACTTGCCTTAAGGGTACCTGCTACCTAATTGAGAAGATTTAGTGATTAAAAATGTTCTTAAAACCCTAAGAGAGCAAATAAAATTAAAATATAAAAACAAAATAAAGAAGTTCCAACACAAAAACGCGATTTGTTAATATTTATATGGGTGTGCCATATATCAAGTCCTAAGTTTTAAATCTTGCAATAAATGGGAAATATGTCATAGATTTAATTTTTTGCTCCTGAGTGTATATAAATAAGAAATACACGATACATCTAAATTTAAATGGAAATATGAATGACTAGCAAAACTTTTATTAAGTGTAACAAATTACTACATTTAATTTCTTACCTGTTTCTTGTTCAAACTGTTCCCAATGTCTCTCCTTCATACCGGGATTTTTCAGGGCCAGAAGAAGAGGTATCAATGGTTTAAAATCATCAATCTGGTTTTTTATCTCAATCGCAACGTTCTGCATGGTGGGAATGTCCGCAAAAGTTTTTATCGATTTCACCATCATTTTATACATATCACTAACAGTGTGTTCTATAGTTTCTGCATCAATCTGGTTGATGGGATTATCCATCCAGATTTCGTGCGCTCTCAGCCAATCTGAAATTTAATAATGTAAATTATTGTAAACAAAATGTTGAAATAGATTATAGTAGTTTTAATCTTTACGTTTATTCGTAGTGAATATATAAAAAAAAATGTTTATAACAACATTGATATATAAGAAAGACGTCTTAATTTAAAATTATTTTTGATTATACAGGGTCCGTCGAAACAACAAAATGAACCAATGTTTTGTTTTTCAATAGAACTTCCCATATATTAAAGCGTTTCTGAAAATACGTATTTGTATAAGGTTTTGGGGGATAATGGGGTAAAATGCCAAACCATTAAGTTGCTTCCAGTTTACTCCATAGCCTCTTCTGCTCAAATCCGACTCTCACCTTGTCACTGGTGCCCCCTGTTAAACCGAGCAACCCAACTGGAGATCCGGTATCTAACCCGGGTGGAAAGTTGGGTCGGAAACTGACGAGAGCGGGTGAACTGGTCCTCCAGGTTGGGGGTTGGACATAGGGTTAACACCCCGACCCCGTAAAAAACAGTATGTTGCGAGAATTCAAGGTAAAGTTTCTGGACTGAAATCTAGACGACGACTCGGCGAGAAAAAGGACAATGATTTAGAATTATTCTGCCGTCCTAACATGAAAGGTCCTATCTGCAAAATTTAGTCTTTTGAGAAAATCAAGTTTTTGTTTCTTTTCATTGTATAACGCTTGGTAATTTAAGAAAGTCTTTATGTTTTATTTTATATATTATGTCGGAGAATAGAATTTAATTGCTAGTCATAATTTTGTTTTATTCTTTTCAGATTAGTCGGTTTTTGATTATATTGTCACTTAGGACAATTTAGCTTAGTGTATATGAAGCACGTTTTTTTGTATTACTTACTGAAATTTACCTAAATGAAACTGAAACTAACCTAAATAAAACTTAAATTCTAATTACCTGTACTTTTTAAATTTTATTATACTAAGTTTTATAAAATAATAGAAAAAAAAACAGAATTCCTCAAGAATGGATATCAAGCATCCTAATACCTCCCTTCAAAAAAGGAGACAAATCGGACCCGAAGAATTCCAGAGGAATTAGTTTATTAAACCCAACACTAAAATTAACAACCAAAGTGATAACAAATAAACTGAATGAAATTATAACACTATCAGAAGAGCAACAAGGTTTTAGGTCGGGAAGATCATGCACCGATGCTATATCTATAATGAGGCAAGTGCAAGAGAAATCATTAGAATACAACAAACCGGCATATCTATGTTTTGTGGACCTTAAGAAGGCATTTAAACGAGTTAAATTAAAAGACGTTATCCACTTACTGTACGCAAAGGAGATACCTCCAGGAATAATCAAAACAACCAAAGTGATAACAAATAAACTGAATGAAATTATAACACTATCAGAAGAGCAACAAGGTTTTAGGTCGGGAAGATCATGCACCGATGCTATATCTATAATGAGGCAAGTGCAAGAGAAATCATTAGAATACAACAAACCGGCATATCTATGTTTCGTGGACCTTAAGAAGGCATTTAAACGAGTTAAATTAAAAGACGTTATCCACTTACTGTACGCAAAGGAGATACCTCCAGGAATAATCAAAACGATCGAAAATATCTACCAAAAAACACAATAAAAGTAAAAGTAGAAGAACTAACCGACCCTATTGAAGCTGGCAATGGGATAAGACAGGGAGATTACCTGACTCCTCTATTATTTAACCTGATTATGGATGAAATAATAAAAAAGTAAGAACTAAAAAAGGATACGAAATGAGAGAAAAACAACTCAAATTAATCTACTATGTAGACGACGCAATACTACTCTCTAAAGTTAAGACGATTTACAACGTATGCTGCACCAATTTAATATAACCGCCAGAAAAATGTTAATTTCCCCAAAAAAGACAAAATGCATGCTTACAACAGCAAATTTACTAAGATATAAATTGGAGCTGGAAGGTCAGATAATAGAACAAGTGATGAAGTTTAAATATCTAGGCATCAAATTATCTAGTTACGGCAAGCTCGAAACTGAAGTAGAAGATCAAGTGAATAGAGCAAACAGTGCCGCTTGCTGCCCGAATGAAACAATATGAAGAAATAAAAATATCGGAAAAGGAAGAAATAGCAGAATTTACAAAACATTCATCAAGAAAATAATGACATATAGAAAGTAAGAAATGGAACGGAATGGAGTAGAATGGAACGGTCATACAAGCCGAATGACAACAAATAGAGTAGTATTCAGAGTACTCTCTACTACTAGAGAGTACTCTACTAGTAGAGTAATTCATTTGACGGCCCAGGTGCATAATCTGGATCATTCTCACTTTTGGCTAAATACCATACGTTTACATCTATCGCTGTTCCGGCCAAGACATGTTGCATTGCTATTATCAAAAAGCAAAAGACGCACATGCGTCTATATTTTTTGCAACTACTACAAACAATAATTACAATCAGTTATTGCTTATACCTAAGGTAACATTATACTCCAAATGTCTGACAATAACAAATACCTTTTATAATTAATTATTTGAAGTTATGTTACAAACATGCTTATATTATAGTACGCAAAATTGTCCTAACTGATTTAGCTCAGTATAAAATACTAGCTTAAATATGTATATAATAAGGCACTTAAGATGCTTATAGGACAATTTCATTTTGTACATACATAGATAATATGTTTACGTATGACGTGAGCAAATAAAGTCACTTTTCCAAATTTTGCAGATAGGACATTTCATGTTAGGACGGCAGTATTCTCGTGGAATCTAAGATCTTTATACCAGGCCAGAAGCCTTGCAGTCTCTCATTAACAGTGTAGACATACTTATATAAGGGCGATATAATTGCATTTCGGGAAATGAGATTGTTAAAAAATAAAATATTAGAGAAAAAGAATTATACGATAAGTATATTATAGCTGCCATCCAAGGGAACACAAATTAGGAACGGGATTCATAGTCAATAAAAGAGTGAAACACCTTATAATAGACTTCCAACCTCTCAACGAAGGTATCTCAACGAAGAATCAGAGGTAAATTCTTTAAATATTCAATAATAAATGCCCATGCACCAACCGAGGAGAAGATGGATAAAGAAAAAAAAAACAATTTTACGAACAACTGGAGAATATCATACAACATTGTGCTACAAATGACGTAAAAGTCTTAATAGGAGATTTTAATGCAAACATAGGTAAGGAGAGGGAATACATGCCAACCATTGGAATTTACAGTTTACATAAAGAGTCAAACTCGACTAATACACTTAGCCTCTTTAATAAACATGGTGATTGTCAGCACATGCTTCAGGCACAAAGATATACACAAGGGAACATGCAAAAGTCCAGATGGTAATACAGTAAACCAAATCAACCATGTTGTGGTTGACGCAAGACACTTCAGCGACGTGAAAGACGTACATAGGCGAACATAGACTAGGACCATTACCTACTACAAGCTAAACTAAGAGCTAGAATCTCCAATGCAAAGAAAAAAAAGAAGTTAAAGAGGAAAGGTTTAAAGTAGAAGCGTTCAAGAACTTGGATATAGCTAAGAGCAGGGGTGCTCAAACTTGAACTGCTGGCGCTCTACCTCAACATTTTCAGACTACTTACGATCGACTCTGAGAGACTGCAAGTGGGTGTGATTTAGGGTTGTCGTACATACACGATACACCCTACCTACCTAGCATATATAGATATTAGCTTTCTGCACAATATAGGTACATTATTTTAGTCAAGGTTTGGGTTAGGTTTAGTTACGTTCTTCTCTACAATATCAATGAAAAAACTCATAGTTATTCAAAATTGCGAGTTTATTTGTTGTTGCAAAACAAAAGAGTTACATATGGTGTTAAACTTAACTAAGGAGTGGCTTTGGATGTTGAAGCGTGGCACTGCATGTCCTCAGCATACTTTTCATAAGATGGTACGTAACCACTGAGTGCTAATCGCAAGCATGATGTCATATGATCGCCAGTTAGTCGATTACGATATTTTGACTTAATTATCTTCATTTCAGAAAATGCAGACTCGCACAAGTAAGTTGATCCAAAAAATGCCGTCAGTTGAAGGGTGATTTGCCTTACATTCGGATATTTATCTACAGATATAAAACGCCAGAACTTTGTATCAGATACTGTAGCTTTGAGATGTATATCTGATATAATCTGCACCAACTCATTTTCAACAGAACATGAGTTCATATTAAACTGACTTGCTATTTCAGTAGCTAATTCCTCAATGTTTTTACATGAAAAAGTATAACCCATAAATATTGCTATATTTTCCAATTTACTGCAATCATAAAAACGAATTTCGAATTGTCCCAAAATATTTGATAATTCAGCCTCATACGTATCATAATTCAACTGAGGAATCCTTGCTTTCAAAGACGGAAAATGTTTCAGATCCTTTCTTTTCAGTTTATCTATCATAAGTTGCAATTTACTTTTGAATGCGTTTACTGCGCTAATCATCTCAATAATAGTTTTTCCTTTACCTCGAAGCTCCAAGTTAACGGTGTTTAAGTGCATTGTGATGTCAGTCAAAAATGCCAAATCATTTAGCCATTTTTCGTTTTTCAAAATCTGAGTGTCATCACCTCTTTCGTCTAAAAAAGCTGTTATTTCGGGCAATAATTTTTGAAACCTTTCTAGGAATTTTCCGCGACTCAACCACCTGACGTCCGTGTGAAGAACTAAATCAGACTTCTGGTGTAATTAGACTCATTTCATGACCAATTCTTTCTTTTAAGTCCTGTAAGTTTTACGGTCTATTGGCATAAACTTTTGATTTTATGTAACCCTACAGGAAAAAGTCTAGAGGTGTTAGATCTGGCGACCTTGCTGGCCAATCTATAAAACCTCGTCTTCCCATCCACCTCCTGGGAAATAAATGATTTAAAAATTGACAAACTTCACGTGCGTAATGCGAAGGGGCTCCATCTTGTTGAAGCAAGATATTTTCGTTAGGTAAATTTAGTTTATTGGCATTTGGATACATGTTAGCAAGGACAG